GAAGATTACACAATAACCATGGCTGCTATTTGTGCAGTCTTAATCGCTATAAACATGTCTCTGAATGCTTTTTCACAGGCATTTTCTAATTTAATCCTCATAACAGTACTATGAGATGTATATTTTTATTATCCTCGTCTTACAAGTGAGCATACTCTCGTCTCTCCGACCTCTGGTTTACATTACCTGCCCAGCTCTATGGGATTTGAGGTTTTGACCTCTGTTCCTTGGCCAATTGCATATTTATTACATTGAAAAACTGATTGAAACCAAATGAATAGGGTCCCAATCTATATCTTACTTCAAAAACCTTCATTGAACTTTTTAATCAAATGCATTTACATTGTGATTTAAATACTTATTTTGACCCTATTTGATCTCTAGCACAGGAGATTCCATGGAAGTTTTTCTTTTCTAAGTATACTCTAGTTACTTAACATAACTTCATGATGCATCTTTCTTAACTCAAAAATAATTTTAAGGTTTTCTTTTTGGAGGGCCAGATGTAGCAAATAATCCCCCCCCCCCCCAAATTCTGGAGTTATTCCAGAATATGAAGCTCATTGAAGCAGATAACTGTGAATTCACTGGGAGGTGACCCATTTCCTTTTCAGCAAGTCACGGAAGGGTTTGGGGTAATATTTTCACCATTTTAATTAGGCGTATAGTCACAACTAGCACAAATGTAAGAGATGTCGATGTTTTGTTTAGTTTTTTTAATTGAGGCAGAATTGACATACAGTTTGTATTCGTTTCAGGTATACAGTATGATTCAATATTTGTATATATTGCAAAATGATCACCACAATAAGTCTAGTTAACAGCAGTCACCATACATGGTTACAGATTTTTTTCTTGTGATGAGAGCTTTTAAGATTTACTCTCTTAGCAACGTTCAAATATGTAATGCAGTGTTATTAACCATAGTTACTGTGCTGTATATTACGTCCATAACTTATTTATTTTATAACTGGAAGTTTGTACTTTTTGACTCCCTTCATCCATTTTGCCCACCCTCAACCCCTGCCTCTGGCAACCGCCAATATATTCTCTCTATCTATGAGCTTGGCTTTGTTTTCGTTTTTGTTTGAGATTCCACATATAAGTGAGATCATATGGTATTTGTCTTTTTCTGTTTGATTTATTTCACTTAACATAATTCCCTCAAGGTCCATTCTTGTTGCATATGGCAAGATTGTATTTTTTTTTTCTTAGTGTTGAACAATATTCCATTGTATATATACACATTTTCTTCATCCCTTCATCTGTCAACAAATACTTAAGTAGTTTTCGTATCTTGGCTATTGCATTGAACATGGGGGTGCAGATATCTTTTTGAGTGTTTTTGTTTTCTTCATATAAACACCCAGAAGTAAAATTTCTGGATCATATGGTAGTTCTATTTTTAATTTTTTGCAGAAATGCCATACTGTTTTCCATAATGGCTTTATCAACTTACATTTCCACAACAGTGCACAAGACTTCCTTTTTCTCCACATCCTCACCAACATTTGTTATTTGTTGATTTTTTTTTTTTTTATGATAGCCATTCTGGCAGGTATGAGGTGGTATCTCATAGCAGTTTTGATTTGAATTTCCCTGATGATTAGTGATGTTGGATATTTTTTCGTGTACCTATTGACCATCTGTATCTCTTCTTTGGAAAAATGTCTATTCAGATCCCATGCTCATTCTTTAATCAGACTATTTTGGAGTTTTATTGTTTGTTTGGTTTTGGGGCTTTTTGCTATTAAGTTGTATGAGTTCTTTATGTATTTTTGATATTACCCTCTATCAGATACATGATTTGCAAGGATTTTCTCCCATTCAGTAGGTTGCCCTTTCATTTTGTTATAGTTTCCTTTGCTGGGCAGAAGCTTTTGTGTCTGAGGTAGTCCACTTTTTTAATTTTGTGCTTGCTGCTTTTGCTGTCATATCCCAAAAATCTTTGCTAAGACTGATGTCAGAAGCTTATTGCCTATGTTTTCTTCTAGTTTTATGGTTTCAGGTCTTACATTCAAGCCTTTAATCCATTTTTAGTTCATTTTTTTTGTGTATGGTGTAAGATAGGGGTCCAGTTTCATTCTTTTGCATGTTGCTGTTTTCTCAGCACCATTTATTGAAGAGACTGTCCTTTCCCCATTGTATATTCTTGGCTCCTGTGTTGTAAATTAATTGACCATATACGCCTGATTTTATTTATGGCCTCTCTATTTTATTCCCCTGATCTGTGTGTCTGTTTTTATGCTAGTAACATTGTTGATGACTTTATTTAACTAGAACAACAAACATATGTTTTCAAGAAATTTTTATTCAAGACAAAAATGCACATATTTTTTCCAAAAAAAAGTGAGAATTTTAGAAATGTTTAACTTGTTTTTACGTTTAAAATACATTTATTTTAAAAACATGTACCTAAACAGGTTGTTTCCATCAGGTTGATATGTGAACTTTATGGTTATTTTACATATGATTACATATGTATTATTATTATTATGTAGCTAACACTCTTCTCAATTTCACCTTCCTTTTTTAATTCACAGGACAGAAGGGAAAAAATCCCACCTTCCAGTTCCTAAATAATATTTCCACATAGTATTAACATATCTAAGGGAAGTAACATATACATATTCTTTCTGTGCTTATTGCTATTTGAACCTTAATTATCAACTCAGAAAGTCACTGTGAGTTAATGGGAAAGGTGTGGCCTCTGGGATAGTCAAACCTGGGTTCAAATCCCAACTGTACTGTTTATCACCTGAGTGGCCTTGGGAGATCATGTATCCTCTAAGAAGTTGGGTTTCCTCTCCTGGAAAATAGGGAAAATACCTACCATGCAAGGGTTGGCATGAGGTTCAAATTTAATGACTTCTAGTATTGTATCCATTGTAAAACTTACACATAATATCCTCTCTGATGAATTCCGTGAGGAAGAGGCCATGTGGTGTAATGAAAAGAACTCTGAATTTGAAGATAGGAGGGTAAACATAGCACTGCTTAAGTACCTTCTGCCTCCTCCCTGCCCCCCCCCACACACACACTTTACATAAGTTATGTCATTTTCCTTACAATAACCCTGCGAGGTAGGTATTAATTTTCCCAGTTTGCACTGTGCTCTTCTCACTATACCTCTTAGATTCAAGTTCAAGTGTTCATTATGCAAATTACTGTGTGATCTTGACAACGTTTATTCTAATATTCAGTTTTCTTATTTGTAAAACTGCAGTGATATTAATCCTGACATCACTAGTAGCACCTCAACTCCTTTTTGGAGATTCCCAACCCCTTTTTAGAGCTAGATTCGCTCTAAATATAAAAGTAAAAGCTCAATGGTTACCATTAGGCTCCAGCTCACACTACTTCGGTAAATAATCATGACATCCAGATCTGAATTGAGTTACTTCCACCAGTGTACTGGCGTGATTTTATTTTAAAACGTCTCAGCATACATCTCTTAAATTTTGTAACAGTTTACATAGTAAAGATGTGACTACAGAACAGCCAGGTCCTGGCCACCTTGAGGAAATTGTAATGCTATCCTGAAAAACATATTGAAGAGTGAATTGTTCATGTGCATATGGACAATCTCCAGGATAGTGTTAGGGAATGTGACAGAAAGGAAGATGGTGAGCAGATCTCCAGAGCCCACAGGGAGTGTTGGGAGGTCATCTGGAGATAATAATAAGGAAAGTATTCATGGTCTCAACCTCAAAGGGAGAGAAGTTAGGTCAGGGGAAGTCTTGGGAGTCAGAAGGTGGCAGGCTCCTCCCCTGGGCCTGGGGCAGGGCATGTGGTTGCTTCATGGAAAGTGCTCCCTCCTCTGCCCATGGCACAACTAGCTGATCTTGTGCTAGCCTGGCCATCTAGTTAATAGCCACGCTGGACTCAATCACTGCTTTTGTTGGCAGGGTCGAGGGCTTGCCTGTCAGCGTGTTTTGATGGAAAACTTTCCAGGTGCACATATAAAGGGAAGAACGTTTTCTGATTCTGGGGAAGAGAAGAAAACAGCCCCCAGGATTATGGCTTCTAAGGTGGTGAGAGAGCTTTCCCTGGCTCTGTTTTGTCCAGGAAGTTTTCCTGCGCATAAAGTGTGCATTCATAGAGTGGGAGACCAAGGCTGCTCAAACCTGTTTTAGGCGGCAGAGCACCCAAAAGTCAGCTTCCTTTGCAGAAGATGATGAAACACTGGCATTTCTATTGCTCATTATATGAACCATGATTTAGCTCAGAATATATTGATGGATTTAGCAGCTGAGTGGGCTAGAAACTCCTGTTTAATTAATTGTGCATACTGTTATAAATGACAAAATCTCAGTCATAAGCATATTGGTTCATGGAGAAAACAAACTGTTGAGCTATTCAGGTTCCAGCTTCCAATTGTCTCCATGACATTTCCAATATCCTTTTGCCAATAGGTTTGAGTGTTCTGCTAGTACTTGATAGTAGTCATCAAGTAAAAATGTTGGGGGGAAAAACTTAAAATTGACAAACTACAAGTTATTAGCTTTTTTAAAAAGCAAATCAAAAAGAAAAAAAAATCGTATTTGGGAGACTTTAAAGTCAGAAAGACCTGGATTTAAGTCAAGAATATTAGCTGTGCCAAAACCGGTTTGGCTCAGTGGATAGAGCGTCAGCCTGCAGGCTGAAGGGTCCCGGGTTCGATTCCGGTCGGGGGCATGTGCCTGGGTTGCGGGCACATCCCCAGTGGGAGATGTGCAGGAGGCGGCTGATCGATGTTTCTCTCTCATCGATGTTTCTAACTCTCTATCTCTCTCCCTTCTTCTCTGTAAAAAATCAATAAAATAAAAAAATAAAAATAAAAAAAAGAATATTAGCTGTGCAGCGCTGGCTGGTGTTGCTCAGTGGTCAGAGAGTCAACCCGCACACCAAATGGTCTCGGGTTTGATTCCTGGTCAGGGCACATACCTGGGTTGCAGGTTCGATCCCTGGTCTCGGTCGGGGCATGTGCAGGAGGCAAATGATCTATGTGTCTCTTTCACATCCATGTTCTTTCTCTCCTCCTCCTCCCTCCCTCCTATCTACTCTCTAAAAAAAAGTTCAGAACCGCATGCAAGAGCAACCTGGAGAGACTTTGACAGCTCAGGTCACCATAATACCTGCAGCTGCCACTTGCCTTTCCTATATCTCAGGAAGAAGAAGAAAAAGTTCAGTGGAAAAAATATCCTTGTTTGAGGGTTTTTAAAAAAAGAACACTCTGCCGAAACCGGTTTGGCTCAGTGGATGGAGCATCGGCCTGCGGACTGAGGGGTCCCGGGTTCGGTTCCGGTCAGGGGCATGTGCCTCGGTTGCGGGCACGTCGCCAGTGGTAGATGTGCGGGGGGCAGCTGGTCGATGTTTCTCTCTCATCGATATTTCTGACTCTCTGTCTCTCTCCCTTCCTCTCTGTAAAGAATCAATAAAATATATTTAAAAAAAAAAAAGAACACTAGCTATGTGACATTGGTCAAGTTACTATATTTCTTGGAAACTGCTTCCTCTTCTTAAGATAGATATAATACCTTCTTGGCAGGATTATTCTCAAGATTAGCATTAATGTCTGTAAAGCCCTGGCACAGGGCCTGGCACATAGTAGGAGCTTACTAAAGGACCGGAAGGGGTAATATTCTTGGCATCAGAACACTTCACCAGCTCCTGAGACACCAGTGTTCCATGAGGAGGGGAAAACTGAGCTGGAAAAGGCCTAGATAAGATTGCATTATATTCCCCCATTCAACAGATGAGGCAACCAGAGACTCAAAGAGGAAGCCCCAAACTCCACAGCAAGTTTGCTAAGAGCCAGGAACAGAATCCCAGCCCACAGCAGCTTCCCTCGCAGGCTGTGCTGTGCTGTTCTCTTCTGCAAACCCGGAACCTTTCTAAAATGCCCCAAGTAGTCCCCTGAGGCCACCGACGACTGCATATGTTCTCTTCTCCTTTGGTAGCCAGCCAAGAGGAGAGTATGTGCAGTGACTCACCAGGGGAGCCGGTCCCCAACCCCTAGTTACTGTTCCTGTTGAAGAAAACACTCCCCTCCCACTTGTGCCCGCACCTTTTTGTTTCCTGTTAGGTGTATTCCTCCCGCGGTGGCTTTGCCCTGTTTGGAGAATTTCTTAAGGAGGGTGCCTGCGGCTGCACAAGGCCACAGCTTGAGATGCTGATATCGTGGCCACGTGGAGCAGGGAAGGACCCGAGTGCTCCGCCTGGCCTGGGCTGCAGAGGGGAAAGCTGGCTGCCCACCGCAGGGCCCCAGAGAGCATGTTTGGGCAGAGAGAGGGGGACCGGGAGTGGAGGCAGACATGTCAGCACCTGTCTGCGAGTCTCCAGGGAGAGACACACACCTGGGGCAAGGGGAGCCAAAAGCAACACAAAGGAACCCAGGTGCACCTCAGGGAAGGTACAGAGATTTCACAAGCGTAAAGACCTAATTTTTGTTTAAAACATGGGCCCAACGCTTAAAAGACGTTGATTGGTTGTTTCCCGGGCTGTTCCCATACTGGGCATGCGCTGTTCTGTTCAAGTCCTCCACTTTCCTCCTTTGTCCTAATCTAGGAGTCAGTGGCCAGGCAGCTGGCCCGCCAGTCACCTTCGGGAACTGATATTATGTCACCAGCAGCCAATCAGAGCAGCTGATGGGTCTGGGATAACCAGTGTTACGTGAGTTGACATAATCCTAGCCAAGAGCAAAGAAGTTTGGCGGTTTTCATCAGCAGGCAGAGCCTTTTAAACGGCTTTTTGAAAGCCCTCCTATTTTTATAAGGCTACTCATAAACCTCCGTGTCTCCACCCCACGCTGACTGATGAGCTGGTTGCACAAGGAAAGTAGAAAGCCAGTGTGCAAAGTCTGCGGAGTCCATGGAGCCCGAGAGAGGCCAAGAAGGCACCTGCTCCTAACTTTCCTGGCTCTAGTTCAGGCCCACCTGCGCATCCCACCTCTGGATTCTAGGAAGTGACCGGAACAAATTATTTACTTAAATTAACTGGAGTCAAGCCTTCCTAACTCAAGCCAAATGATCTTTCTGCCTCATTATCTAGGCTTCTCCTTGCCTTGGCTGTGGGTTCCTTGGCAGGACTGTCACTGGTTTAGACTGCACACCTCCCTTGTTGCTGTCACAGGGCCTGCATCAGGCCTGAATGAGTGATGTGCTTTGGGGTCGAGAGGGAGTTCTGGCTTATCTTGTAGGAAACATGGGCCAGGGGTGGGGAGCACAGTTCCACTTTCCAGCCCAGCCCATGTTGAGGACCTGATCTTCTTGAAGTCTAAAGCTACCCTCTGCCTCAGTTAAAAGTCTCAGTTCCCTTGCTCCATTTTGATTTTCACCATTAATGAGAGAACTTCTGGATAGTCCAGTCTTTTTACTTTCATTCTTCCTTTGTTCTAATCTAGGAGTCAGTAAACCATGGTCTTTCCGACAAATCCACTCCACCTGGTTTTGTAAATAAAGCTGTGTTAGAACACAGCCAGGCTTATCCATTTAAGTATTGTCTATTCTGCTTTCAGACTATAACAGCAGAGCTGGGAAGTTGTGATGAAGATCATATTTTAGCAAGGCCAAAAATATTTACTAGTTGGCCCTTTATAGAATTTGCCAACCTCCTAATTCATCTACCTGGTTGCCCCCAAAGCAATTTCCTAAATCTCACATCCAATCTCACCATTTTTCTGCTTTAAAAAATATATATATCAAAATCTACATTGTAGCTCTAGCCGGTTTGGCTCAGTGGATAGAGTGTCGGCCTGCAGATGGAAGGGTCCTGAGTTCAATTCCGTCAAGGGCACGTTCCTTGGTGGCAGGCTCCCGGCCCTGGTCAGGGCGCGTCCAGGAGGCAACCAAGTGATGTGTGCCTCTCACATTGGTGTTTCTCTCTGTCTCTCCCTCTCCCTTTCACTCTCTAAAAATCAATGGAAAAAATATCCTCGAGTAAGACTTAAAAAAAAAAAATCCACACTGTAGATAGAAGCTCCTTTGTGTGGCTCTGCACAGCCTGGCCCGCACTCCCTTCCATCCTTACTTTGCACCCTCCACCTCAGCTCATGCTGTGCCTGATGCCTAGAATGCCTTTCTGTTTTCTTCCTCTGTCAAACGTCTCAACATTCTATAACACCAAAGTTAAATGTCACCTCTCCTTCCTCGATGCCCAGCAGAGTTAATTCCTCCTTCCTCCGTGCTCCCGTAGCTCTTTAGACAAACAACTGCTATTGTATGGACTATATGGGATTGCAATGATGTGTTTATGTGTTTGTATTCCTCACTAAGAGTGAGCTACTAGAGAACACGGACCTTGTCTCATGATCTTTCTGCCCCTGCCAGAAATGTAGATGAATCATCTGGATGATAAGTTAAGTCTGAAACAGATTTTTATAAAAGTGCCTGGAACCTTATCTGTGCCACCTCTCACGATTGACTATCTGGTTTATTCTCTCTGTACTTCTGGTAGCTGAAATATCAAAGCTACTCAGAAGATGTCTAATGAGTGAGTGTGTAAATAGATAACATACATATTTTTCTTCTAATATCAAAATATAGTAAACACATTGTCACATTCACTTTATCATCAAGTACATTCAGAACTTTAAAAAATAACCTACCTCCATCCCAAGAAGATATACAAATGGCCCATAAGCACATGAAAAGATACTCAACATCATTAGCCATTAGAGCAATGCAAATCAAAACCATGATGAGTTACCACTTCACACCCACTGGAGTGACCTTAATAAAAAAGACAGATAACATGTGTTGGTGAGGATGTGGAGTAATTGGAACACTCTTACATTGCTGGCAGGAATGGCACATGATGCAGATGCTGTAGAAAACAGTTTAGTAGTCCCACAGAGTTATCCTGTGACCCAGCAATTCCACTCCTAAGAGAAATGAAAACATTTGTCCACACAAAAACATGTGTAGCAATATTCATAGCAACATCATAATAGCAAAACAGTAGAAACAACATAAATGTCCATTGACTGGCAAATGGATAAAAAAAATGTGATATAATCCACACAATGAAATATTATTCAGCCTTAAAAAGGAATGTAATTCTGATTCGTGCTACAAAATAGATGAACTTTGAAAACATTATGCTCAATGAAAGGCCACAAAAGGCCACATAGGTATGATTACATTTATATGAAATTACAGAATAGGCAAATTATAGAGACAGAAAGTAGAATAATGGTGGTCTATTTTTAGGGGGGGTGGCGTGGGGAAAGAAATGAGCAGTAACTGCTAATGGGTAGGGAGTTTCTTTTGGGGTTGGTGAAATGTTCTGGAATTAGGTAGTGGCAGTGGTTGTAAAACTGTGACTGTGCTAAAATAATTGAACTGCATACTTTTAATGTGTTAAGTCTATGGTATGTGGATTATAAGTGTTTTAAAAGAAAGTATGCCACATTGAATAAGAGCTAAAACCTGTGAATTCGCTCTAGCCAGTTTTGCTCAGTAGATAGAGCCTGTGGACTGAAGGGTCTTGGGTTCGATTCCAGTCAAGGGCATATACCTCGGTTGCAGGCTCATGTGCAGGAGGCAACCAATGGATGTTTCTCCCTCTCTGCCCCCCCTACTCCACCCCCCCCCCCCACACACACACACACATACTCTCTCTCTAAAAAAATCAATGGGAAAAAATATCCTCCTGTGAGGATTAACAACAAAAACAAAATCTGTGAATTCTACCAATTCAATATCCCGGTTGGGAAATTGTAGTATAGTTTTGTTTTTGTTTTTGTTTTTATTTTTATTTATTTTTATTTTTTTTTATTGCTTAAAGTATTACAAAGGGTATTACATATGCGTCTTTTTTGTAGTATAGTTTTGCAAGATGTTTCCCCTGGGCAAAGCTGGGTAAAAGTGACATGGGATCTCTCTCTATTATTTATCATAACTGCACATGTATACTTTTCTAACTTTTTTGAGTCTCAATTTCACTATCTGTAGAAAGAAAATTGTAGAAGCTTCTCCATAGTTATTGTGAAGGGTAAAATTACATGAATAGCTAATTCATGTAAAAGGCTCAGTAGAATACCTGCCCCCATAGTAAGGACTCAATAAGTGGTAGTTATCATGATGATGATAATACCAAGGATGGTGATTTATACTGTTGTCCTTGACATATGTTTTTAGGTGACTGGGGTTGGTGGTAAAAGCCT